TGGAGAATATAATATTATTATTAATATAGTTATTATATTATTATGATTTTTGGTGTGAATATGATAATATAATGAATAATAGTAATATTGGTGGGGGTATTATTATTATTATTATTATATATTATTATATTTATTAGTATTATTAATATTATTATTATTTTGGTGAGATAATAATATTATTACTATTATTATTATTATTATTATTTTGGTGAGATAATAATAATAATATTATTATTATTATTATTATTATTATTATTATTATTATTATTAATAGTATTATTATGATTAGTATTATTAATATTAGTAATATTATATTAGTATTATTAATATTAAGATTATTATTATTAATATTATTTTATTATTAGTATTAATATAATTGTTATTATTATCATTAGTATTATTATTATTATAATTATAATTATTGCTGGGTGTATTACTATTATTATTATGTTGAATATTACTATAATATTACAATAGTATTATATTATTATTATTATTATTATTATTATTATTATTATTATTATTATTATAATGATTATTATAATTATTATTATTAGAATTATTATTGGGAATATTAGTGGTTGGAATAAGTAAAATAAGAAGTGGAAGGGTTATGGGGAAGTTAGAATGGAAATATGAAAAGGCACGATAGAAACCGTGAGAAGGGAAATTGGGATAATAGAGAAGAGCGAAAAACAAAGAGAAAGGGAAAAGGCTAGGGATGAAGAATCATGGAGGAATTTATCACCGATCAGAATAATTATCCAGATAAGGGGGGAGAAACTTGATTGAGATGGTATATATACATGTATAGGGTAGAGGGGATTCCTTAACCCCGTAGGAAAATGTCGATCTATGAAGTTTTATATTGGCATGTTGTTATTGTTGCTGCTAATGATAAATTGATGCTTGATATTGATGAATTGTTGATTGGTATTGGTGAATTTGGTATATATATATATATTATGGTGATATTAGTGAGATTATATGTTGTTACTGCAGTGTTGATAGTAACTATGAATAGAGTTTTGGTGAGATTTTGTGTTGTTATTGTAGCGTTGGTAATGATCATGATTATAAATTTGGGAAAATTATGTATTGTTCCCTGTGATGTTGTTAGTGACTCTGGTTAGGACCTTGGTGAGATTCAGAGTAACTTTGAAGTGTAGGTAATGTACCGTAATGTTGGTTCTAGAGTAGGAAGTATATGATAATTGGTAAGTATAATGGTGTGTTTGTGTTTGATGATAACTAGTAATTGATAGCGATGGAGTATAGGTCAATGTTGATGAATTGTTGTTTTTGGTTAATTTGGCATATAGGCTGGGTTTAAGGTTTTTAGGGAGATTCTGTGTGACCTTTTAAGGCATCAGTAGAATGTTTAAGCGATGACTTTGGGAATAAGATTTAGGAACCGATTTAGTTACGGTAATGTACAAGGTTGGTACTAGAGTAGGCTGAGAATTTGAGTCGAGATGATAAGTTTAATTTGGCCTAGAATACCTGCAAAACTGTGGGGAAGTTGGTGAATCGCAGCATTCGCTGGGCTTCGTCTAGCGAGTGTTGGCGAAGCTTCGCCTAGCGAATGCCAGCGAGCATAGCAGAACCAGAATGTGACTTTGGTGATGTTTGGCCTTGAGCATTGGTCTGGGGTGATCTTTCTGGCCTTGATGCATTGTAAGAATGATGAGTGTGGGATCTAACCTGTGTACTGGGTGATAGTACTCATTTCCCTTAATATTGTTGGTGGACAATTACTTAACGTATATGTATGTAGTGATCAGTAGGATCGTGTGTTCCCGGGTGTTGGGATGTGGTTATATATGGTGTTATAGTATGAATTTATTTACTATCTGATTGATTTATATGGTGTTGGTGTAATATATCTACACATATATGCATTGATGTATGATGATATGATCAGGAGGATCGTGTGCACTTAGTGTGCCTAAATATGATAGTTATGCATTGGTGTGTGCATATCATGGTGTTTTGGTGGGATGAATCATGTCTCAGGAGGAGCGTAAGTGATTCATCCGTACTCCTTTGTGGAGAATGGTGGGGGATAGATCATGTCTCAGGAGGAGCGTAAGTGATCTATCCAGGTTCGATTGAATGAACCAATGAGTCGGTACCGCATGCATGGTGTTGAGTTGCATATTTGCATTATAATATGTTATATTGTAATTTGAACAGTAGGTTCGTTATATGGAGTTGTTGGAGTGAATATTGGTGTGTTGGTGTGTTTTACTACCTTGTTTACATGTATTACATTACCAATATATTTTTGATCATGTTTTCTCACCCCTTGGTTGTTGTTGTGTCTGTGCTTCTCCGGAAGTACAGATAATCCAGGTACTTAGATAGCTTGGATGGTGGTGTGCCAGTCGAGTCTAGGATGCTCTGATACGTAACACGGGATATGAGTGTTTTAATTGTTTTATGTCAAACTTGTTGTAATCCTGTGACGTATCACTTTTTTTGTGAATTATAATAATAAAGATTTTACGAAATTTGGCGGATGGCCGAGAATGTTGGAATAATGTTTTCCGCTGTATTATTTTTGAGAATAATTAATAAAGTATTTTTATAAAAATTTGGTGATGTGATATTCCACTATTTTGGTGAAAACTCTGATGTTTATTTATAATGTTTATATTTTATTTAATTTGGGAAGTGGGGTGTTACACATGCTACCTAACTTATAACCACAGTGTCTCGCTCGTTGTGGAAACTAACATACATACAATCACACGCTAAATAACAAAAGGCGTGAAAATGTTATTATATGTGTTTAGCAACCGTCATTATATATGTTTTCCATAGTAGTGTCAAGCTAACATTAAGAAAACATTAATCTTAGATTCATTGGGTAATAACAAACCATTGATTTGAATGTCTGTGTGACATTATACAATAATGTTGACCATTATATTAGGAGAGTTGATTGTTTCAACTTCTTAATGAAATTCAATATTGAAAATATGTATCTCAAGTAAAGTAGATACAATATAAACTTCACTTATGTGAATTTCGAGATGGTGTCATCTCAAAGTGAGAGTTGGAGTTTCTCTCATGATAAATTCACGAGACAAAAAAAACACAACGCCATAAATAGTACTAGGCGAGAGATGTAGATGAAAAAAATTAAAGAGTGTGTGTATGGTGACATTGATCTAATCATAAGGAGTAACCAGTTCAAAGCTTTGCTACCAAAAAATTTCGATTATATTTTGTATTGTCATTACTAAAGTTAAGTTAAAATCGAAAGATATTTAACTATATTATCATTCTTTATTTTCTTTTTTGAAATTGGTTCTATCATTATTATAACAAGTGATGGATTATTATTATTTTTTTGAATCAAAAGAAGAATATATTAATTCAAAAATAGTTAGTACAAACTTAGGTGATCCAGGAGGATCCAACCCACCAAAAAGACGCAACTTACATCATATAACTAACAAGATGCTTTCTAATTTTAAGGTTTTTCCACCCTCTATAGATCACGTTATCTATAATATTGGTATGGTTGTATTATCTACACTGTTTCCAAAAGTAATACTATTACGATAACCCCAGATGCTGTGGATGGTTTCAGCCACTAACATTTTCAAAACATCCACTTTCCATCCTTTTTCTTTTGTCATGTTACTGATCCAAATCAGCTCTGCCTCCCATGGTTGAGGTTCATGATATATGTTAAACCATTGAAGCACTTTCTTCTATATGTGTCTTGTCCCATGACAACAGAAAAACAAATGGTTCATCGTCTCTTCCTCGGTTTGACATAAACTGCATTCGCTGTCTTGAAAAACAAGTGATGGATTATTGTAATTAATGAATATGTAGTAATTAATAAAGAAATTAATACATAATCATTGGGGTGTTCCAATAATAATAAAACAACTTGAAAGTGAGTAAATGAACTTTCAATGTATAGGAAATAACTTCACATTGAGAGTTCAACTCACTTTAATGTTTCTTATATAAATTTGCATTTATTAACTCATCAAGAAGTTAAAGAGGAGAAAGTGCCACATAGATAAGTGTGGTGGTCTCAAATCTTGTGTCAACTGCCACCATCACACTCCCTCTCACCGATATCGCCACTAGCGACATCAATTACGAGACTAGGATCAGATATGTAGGCGTAGAGGTGATAGTGATGGCTTGTAGACTAGACTTGAGCACTTAGGCACAACACATCAATTGAGATACTCGCGATATTGAACAGCAACCGACCTTCATCCTACTAGTGGCAGCAAGCCGCCACCCGTGGTAGTGGCCTTTACTCTAATTTGTTAATTTTTGAATTCGAATAGTTGTAACACTTAGTGTGAAGTGTTGCAATATTTAGTAAAATGATGTGTTTCATCAATGGTCACAACCTTATGAAACAATATCATTCAGCCTATAAATAAACTGTTCTGTATATAAAATAACACACAAAAATTAAACTCTCCACTTTATTGTAAAATCCAAATTTATCTTTTTCCTACATTCAAATTTTCATCTATCTTATACAAATTCAAAAATAAACTAAATTATCTTAGATATTCTCCACTCTAAAATAATTTAAAAATACTTTAAATACTATTAAAAATATATTCATATATATCCGATTCTCACCTTAATTCATTTAACTTATAGTCTATTTCTAACACATTTGTTATACGATGAAACTAGATAAAAATTATTTATATTGACCAACATATTTAACTATAATCTGTTTTATATTTTCTTCCAAATGAATCAATTTTGTTTTATTTTTTTCTTCATTTTATTATTCTTTTATATTTCCAATTTCCCACACATACCAAATCCAACCAAAACTGCAATATTAATCCAAATCTAAAAAAACCGACAAAAATAAAAAGAAAAGAAAAATGAAACTAGAGAGAAGTGTGTGTGATACTGTGATAATCTAATTTTATTTCACACATTCTCTGTTGCATTATCACAAACACCTCGAACTCTATCTCACTCTGCAACTAACAATGGCTTCACAAGCTCTCGTCTTACCTTCACCGCTCTCTTCCCACTCTCTTCTCCGAACATCTTTCTCCGGCGTCTCCGTCAAGCTCGCTCCCCAATTCTCAACCCTTACAACTTCCAATTTCAAACCTCTCACCGTAGTCGCGGCTGCCAAGAAAGCCGTCGCCGTCCTTAAGGGCACATCCGCCGTCGAAGGTGTCGTCACTCTTACTCAAGACGACGAAGGTGAATCCTTTTCTTAATCCCTTTCAAATCTCCATTTCACTTATCAATTATCAATAATAATTTGTGTTTTTATTGTTGCTGAAAATTGAAATGAATTGCGTGCTTCATTGTTAATAAGTTGTAGTCTATGTAGCACCAACATCTTTGTCAATACTTGTTATTTAGTTTAATTTATTATTTTTGTAAATTATTACCGGTGTTGACCGTCGCTCTAATTATTATTTCTGGTGTTTGTGCTTCATATGTTTCAGTTGTCTTAAGTTTATTTGGTAATGTAATGGTTACTTTTCTATGTGCTGAATTGAATAACTAGAAGCTATATGTGTTTTTGTTTGATGAGTAGGTCCAACAACAGTTAATGTTCGTATCACTGGCCTTACTCCAGGGCTTCATGGTTTTCATCTAGTGAGTGTTACTTTATGTTCCTTCTTTCAAAAATTTAATTAATTTGTTTATTTATTTATATGCATCTATATTATGTGTTGCTTTATCTTGCAGCATGAGTATGGTGATACCACAAATGGGTGTATCTCAACAGGTAATATAGACCTTAGTTTCCATTTGTTTGTATCTTTTTTTTTTTCTTTTTTCTTTGCTATGGTTCAGTTTGACTAAAGTTAGGACTGTTTGATGCTTGAATATCTTATTTAGGACCACATTTTAATCCCAACAAGTTGACACATGGTGCTCCTGAAGATGAAATCCGTCATGCGGGTGACCTGGGAAACATAGTTGCTAATGCTGAAGGTAATGCTTCTCTCATTTCCTCTGCTTTGAAAAGCTTTTTGGATCTTCTAATCTTCTTATGTATTGTTTTTCTATTTTGGGAAATACAGGAGTTGCAGAGGCGACAATCGTGGATAATCAGGTGTGCTTTGTTATTTCTATTTTAATAATATGATAGTTGACAGTTCTTTTGATAATTATTTCAACCCATGGTTCTTGTGCCTGCGGGTTGGAACAGAGTTTTTTATTTTTTAAGAAACTATATGGTTGCTTGTTGAAAGTAGCTAACCTTTTTCTTTGACAAAATTACGCAGATACCACTCACTGGCCCCAATTCAGTTGTTGGGAGAGCCTTAGTTGTTCACGAGCTTGAAGATGACCTCGGAAAGGGTTAGTTCTTCCATTTTAAATATTTATTTATATTTTCCTTATGATTTATGCTATAGATGAAAATACTGTCTAATGGGTTTACAGAAAATAATGAAGTAAACTGATGAAATTTTTTTGATACACCAATGGAGGAAATAAAACATAACAGAATGGAAAACAAATCTAGTCGAGGGATACCACTAGCCTTGCCAAGTGGCTCCCACAAGAGAGTATTCTCTCTTTCCAATAACAATTCCAAGATGATTCTCTTACAACACATGATTCCCTTATATAACTAACTCTGATGTTAGGCCTGCTGCCAGTTCATCCTTCTAGATACTCTCAGCTAGATCTTTACATGCTTCCTTTGGTATACTCTCCATATTTTGGGCCTCTCCACAACCTCCTCAAGTGTGACTGTCTGCTCATTACACCCAACTCCCTCATTCCTATCACTGTCACAAACTTCAATACCTATATTACCCAAATAAAGAATAGATGAATGTCTACTTATCACAGGGGAAGAATGATATGAATATGAAGTTGGTTGTTTATGTTCTTTCTAAGATGTTATATCTCATGTTGTGTTTGAAGTCTTGTATATTGAGTATGGTGTGTTAATTATAACTGAAGTGTTTTTACTTTGGTCTCATCTGCATCTGCTCATACTTTTGCAGGTGGACATGAACTTAGTTTGAGCACTGGAAATGCTGGTGGAAGATTAGCCTGTGGTATGTAGAAACTTATGCATTAAAACAGTTCTATCCTTTTCATATTCATCAATTCTTCCATGCTTATGATTATATGTTATTTTATTTGCACTTCTCTGCTGTTTTTAAAGATGAACAATTTCTATAATTGTGATTTATTTTCATTCTCATTTCCCTTCAATTGGTTTCCATTAAGTAATACACAGATTTTATATGATTTAGAATCAAGCTCCATACATTATTCTCAAAGAGTTGTGCTTTAAATCTGTGGATAAGCTGGTTTTATTGAAATTATGGCATGTATTGTTGCCAGATGTTAGGTTGACATAAATGATACTTAAGAAACAATGATTATAGGTTTAGAACATCTTTTGCATACATGCTTTTGACCCGTGACGATGATATAATATAATTGTGGAATTCATTCTCCAATTAAAACAAGAAAGTATATGCAGTTTCTTGTTTTGTCGCCTCCTTGGATAGGAGTTATTGGCTTAAAATTAAATTTGACAATTTTCAGCTGAATGGTATCAATATATTTCGATTAAAAGGGAAATCACAATCTTGAATACATTTAAACTGTCAAATTTTTCTACAAGGCTATAAGTTTACATTTAAATCACAGTCTTTCCCAATTATGGTGATTGCATTTAAACGTAAAGGTGTTATGCCACATGTCATACTTGCAATTTGTCTAAACATAATATTTCGTGTTAAATGCTATAGAAGCACTTTTTGTTTTGTCATCCATAGGGCATTGAACAGCCCATTCTAAAGTAGGCTTGGCAATACAGTAGTAAGAAACCTGCCTCGCAAGAACAATATTAAAACCTGTACACGGTACCTGCATCGCCTATTTCACAGATTCATTAACGTTTATTGTTGAACAAGTAAAGAAAAGTCGATATATCTATATTTAATAAATAATATGAGCATAATCATGTAAGTTTAGATTAGCGGTTAAACTTGCTTCATGCATGGTGGGTACTCGGTACTCCTGTGCCAGGGTGAAATTCTTATGCTCATTCTATAGTCCAATTCTCAAAAGTTATAGCTGATTTATATGTCTGCAATCTTTATAATGTTTTTAATTAAATGTTTCTGCATCATACATTTTATGTTTCTGCTATATGATAATGTGTATGTTGTGCTTGCTTTTTTGCAGGTGTTGTAGGCTTGACTCCAGTATAAATGCTTCAAATGCTTTTGTACCAGGCTTGTTATTTTATCTGATGTTTGATTTCTTCAGTTATCCTTGTTTTATGAAGCTTTGATATTAATCACCTTTCAGAAATTAATCACCCCCATGAAGCTTTACTGTTATTCGCTTTCTTCAATAAGCAACGTAAACTATAGAGCTTAATGTTCTTTACTAGATAGTTTCATCATCCAGTCAGGTGGGTGTGTGTTTCTTCCCTAATAAAGTTTAATTTCTGATGTAGTTCTTGTTCCTTGCTTGTGAGAGAACCTATGTTGATATTCTGTGTTACTTGTGTTCCTAGTTAGCTATAATGGTTCATGTGCAAAATGGAAAGACATACTATCAAATCACAAAAAGGGAGAAACGTAAAAGGGTGTTGAAGTTGCTTCTTGAAAAATATGACATTCAAAATCACACAAATATTTGAGAGGGCGAAAAGTGCAAATTCAGCCAAACCTAAATATGTAAAAGTATGTTAAGTAATGGATAAAAGAATATAACAATCAAAAAAACAAAACACTATTTTTGGACAAATTATACGATAACACAATAAATAATGAAACGTACTAATTACTAAGTACTACCATTTATGCCACAATATAACCAATAGGGGTGAGGAGGTGGTCACTGGTTTGTGCAAATTGAAATTCAAACCAAACCATGGTATTATGGTATTTGAGGTAGGTATTTTTTTTTTGTTCGAGCAATAACTGAATTAAACTAAGGAAATTCAATGATAATCAATTCAGATAGTGAATTTTTAAAAGTTTACCTGAAACAATTATAATTGATTTGTATAAGTTATATCATCATTATTGTCACACTCAAAGACACAATTAATGACATTGCATTTGATGTATTTGATCAATCAAATTCAAATCAACCCATTATTTTTTATTTTTTGGTTTGTTTCGATTTAATGTATATTGCAAAAATGTGTAAGTTTAATCCAAATCATTTCATATATATTTTTATCAATTTAAATATTAGATTCTTTTAAAACCGAACTAAGTCTGCTATATTAAAAATAAAAGTAAATACTTTTAACATAAATTTTGAATTTTTTAATCACTTACACTATATCTTGGTTGTAAAACTTAACACTTGAACTAAACTAAAATAATTTTATATGTCTAACTATATTAAAAAAAGTTTTTTTAACAGGTTACGTTATGGGGCTATGGTTCAAAATCATGAGTATTTTAACTAGGTTTTAAAATATGGATAGATCATCAACCCCATCAAATTACTTGATCACTAGGTTACTAGTCAAACCATAATTTATATAAATTACAAATGAAAAATATTCATTAAATAAAATTTTGATTAAAATTTTATAACTATAAAATCTAAAAAACTTCTATAAAACTATGTAAATAAGTTGATATCAATATTACATAAAATTCAAACTCCCAAATATAACTAACAAGTTTCAATTCCAAACATAACAAATTTTATATATTTTTGAAAATAAAAAAGTAACACAACTATAAAATAAAATAACTTTTAAACATAGTCAATAAGAAAATCAAATAATTTATAACAATACAATAAATTCAAAATGTTTTCAAGATGTGAAGGAAGGAAAATATATTTTTTTTCTCACAACTTTTAATTTTTTTTCTTCCCATCCAACACGTTATTATTTTGACGAGTTAAAAAAAATAAAAATCCACTAGTTTGTTGGTTTAATTCATAAATCAGTTGGATCATATTGATTTTCATTGAATTAATTGTAACTAGAGTTTTTTTTATTTTATCGAACCATTCTACCTTTCAATTCTTAAAATTCGAGCCGACTTTTAAAATATATTTTATCATGTTACCGGTCTGTCCCTATCGTTTAATAAATTTTAAGAAATGTGAATGTAATTTCCCATTCAATTATATGGCTTTAAGTTTGGTTTCGTTTTAAAAAACTTTCCGTATGCTTTAAATTAAATTCACGGCCATTCTATAACAAGCAACATACAACATTATTCTCGTTATCATAGAAGAAGATAAAAGTAAAGTGAAATGGGAAAGGAGTGCTAACAAGTGAAGTAGGAATTTTCCAACCAGAAAATAATAAAGCAAAACTTTTGGCCATGTCAATGTCTTGGACCGAATAGGATTGGCATATGATTAATTGATATCAAATTTATTGAAGTATTTATTCATTCACAAGAGATGGGATATAGTTGAAAGTGCTTTTGCTGCAATCAAGTTGTTTCTTTTGATGAGTGGTTCACGAGCTTCACTCACTCAGTGAGGTGTGAATTGTTAAAGACTTCAAGTGGAGTTGGAGTGAGTCCACTACTCAGCAACCATCGAGACCCTAGATTTAATAGGCACCAATAAACTTTTTGTTTGAGTATGTGTAAGAATTAGAATTTTGCAGGATTGAAATTACGTCACATTTAACGAAACATAATATTTTAAAAACTCTTGATTTTGTTGTTTTTTTAATGGGAAACTATTTCATTAAACAACTACAAAGTTATGAGCATCCACATTAAACAACTTGCTTAAAAACATAATAGAAACAGACATAAAAGCTATCCAGCAAAATTCTACAATCAAGAGCTAAAGGATCTAGGACATCAATCGAACAAAGAAAGTTAATGCAGTCCACCACATTCATGACATCATATTGGACAAGAATTACTTCCATATTGAGCTCCTTTGTCAACTACAAGCTCAATCGGGGATAGTTAGTGTAACGTTCAGTTTATTTTATTTATTTTTCGTAATTAAATTATGTGATATGGTGTTATTGTATTATGTGATTGATATTTTTGGTGTGTTAGAGATACCTTTAATATGTGGTAGTGACCTTAAATAAGGAGTTTGAGGTGTTGGGATGTGTGAGTAAAAGTGTAGAAATTGAAGGTATGTGGACAAAAAAGGAATAAAATAATAGTAACATTAATAATTAAATAATTATTTTATTAGTATGGTTATAATAATAATTTTAATCAATTGGAAATAATATTAATAATGAAATAGGATAAGAGAAAAGCGGTTTTGAGAGAGAAGTGATAGTTCGTGAAAAAGAGAGGAGAACGTGAAAATTGAAGAAAAAGAGGAGTGAGAAAGTTAGGGCTTAAAGGGAAAGAGGAGAACTCCATTGTTAAAGAACCTTGCAAGATATCTAAGGTAAGGGCGGGGTTCTGATTAAATAAGTGTTTGTATAATAACTTTTGGGCAGGGATTGTTCTTACTATGTTAGAATTATTATTCTCAAATGTCATGAACTTGTATTTGTATGAGCACAATGTGTAATGGTGTGTTGAATTGATTTGTGTAAATCATGCAATTATGTGTTTGTTTGATGTTTTGGATGTTGTTGGAATGTTCTTGTTGATGTGTATGGACGAGGGTTAGAGTCTAAATCATGTTTACATGAATTGTATGTGAGTTAGGGGGTTTGAGTTAAGTTGAAAAGTGATTTTTGTGTAAAAAGTAGCTGAAAACTGATTCTGCTACAGGTATAATCGGTTACCAGAATTGGGGTATCCGATTATACTGTTGAAAAATGCGTCTTCTGGGAAAAATTGAGAGGTGTAACCAGTTACTGCATTTGGTGTAACCAATTACACTGAGTGGCAGTAGCATAGTAGGGGCACACTATAGGGGTGTAACCGATTACTGCAATTGGTGGAACCGGTTACACAGGGAGAAAATTTTGTAAATCCTTAAAAATCCATATCTTGAGCTAGGAGTGTCCATTTGGGGTACCGTTTGAAATGTCGGGAAGCTGTTGTAGTGTAGTTTAACTTAAAATTAGTTACAACACCGAAAATAAATTAATTGATGTGTGATGGTGTAGTTGACATGTGATGTGTTTATGTTATGGTGTGGAATGTGTATAAATGTTATATAGTTGCGTTGTTGTTGCTGAATGTTATAACATGTGCTGGTGCATGGTGGCCAGTATTGGCGTGGTATCTTGACTAAGGTGATGTTATTGTACTTGTTGTTATTGCATGTATATTATGTTGCATGCATCATGGTGTTGGACAATGGTCCGTTTTGGTGAGCCTCAATCCTATGATGATTGATTGCGTGCGAGTAACTAATTTCTATGGTGATGAAATTAGTGAAGCGTTCCCTATGGTGATGGTAACGATTTTGGTGTACTTTAATCTTAAGGTGGGGATTGGAGTGGTGAACCTGAGAGTTCACATATTGGTACCACATGCATGAGTCATAATGTTGAGTCCCATTGCATTGCATAGTTGTTGTGTTGTTGTGTTTGGATTAATGTGGAAGTGTGATTGGTGGAATGGGTGATTATGCATGTAATAATATGATGTTTACTTATTATTATGCATTGCTTTATATAATTGTGATATTGCTTTACATAGGCATCGTGCAAATAATCCGCAAGAGAGGCGTGATTGTGAGTGGAAGAGGGTGCTCTTCCTTTTTATTTTTATGAGTAGGCGTCTGCTCTGATGTGTAACACAGCGTGGGGGGGGGGGGGGGGCGTTTGTGTTTATCATGTTGGGTAAATTTTACCATGCTTATCTCTTATGTCTGATATTCCTATAATTACTAGAAGTTATTTTTATGTTTTGAAGTAATAGTATAAATGGTTGATGATATTTTTCGCTGCTATTCATATTAAAGTTGAAGTTGGAGTTGTTGGTTTTTGTTATTACAATAATAATTATTATTGTTATTAGTAATTTTTAAATAAATTGAATGTGTTATATATCTGATCGTATGAGCAAGTTCATGTTGAAAGTAGTATCTTAAATGTGTGTTGTTTTAATTTACTCTGATAATTATTTATAATTTGTGCGGGGGTGTTTAGGGTGTTACATAGTGGTATCAGAGCAGGTCGGTCTGTCCGGCCAAGTTGTCGAGTCGGTGTGATGTGACAGTTGAATACTTGTTAAGGGCCAAATTGTGCATACTTTTGATTATATTTTGTGGCCCTTTCTAATTGTTTTTCTTGGTATTTTAGTAGTAAATTCATATGTTTTAGTGTAAATATGCAAAT